TCTTATCTATAATTTAGCCATAACGTCATTTAAGTTTCCCCTTAGCGACACTACTTTCGCCTTAAGGTACTTTTTTCAACCCTCTTCATTGTTTTGGCTTCCCTTTATGGATAGATCTAAGCTGTTTAAATTTACGTATTACTTGTCACTTGTTTTGTTAGTTGTCCTCTGTCTTGAGGGCATTAGACCGTCATTGACAGTTATCAGTTGACATATACACTGCTTTTTACAAAGAGAGACAAGCAACTTCTCTGCAGTATTGCTTTGTATATATTTCTTTTGTATTTTCAGTATAATAAGGCATACTTATTAATTTATTATTATTATTTTCAAATTTCAAATTATTTATTTTTTATTTTTTAAATTATCTAATTAACCCAAGGCGGGACTCTTGCAGTTACTCTCTTGGATCTTGGAGCTCATTATGGGCAGAGTCACTCGCTTACCTGATCAGATTATATTGGACCTTATGCACAACTTATTCAATGATTGCACAGAGGTGGCGAAAGTGGGGGGGCGCCAGGGTGCATTATTTCTTTTTCCCATACAGTTGCGGCAGAAAAATTATAGAGGGTGCTATTTTAGGTCAGTTAGGAGAACTGATATGCATGAATATGCATAGAGTCTCACCTTTGCGAAACAGAGTCAGTGGTGCATCGAGTTTTATGCGTGGATGAATGCTATGGAGTCACTAACCCAAAATTTCGTCAAATAAGCCTTGGTAGTCAAGACAGTGTAAAAATTGTAGTTCTACATTAGACACATTCTATGTACGTAAAAAAATTAAAAAAGAGTAAAGGCTAATATTGAATCTGGCACCGTATTTGAGTAGGCCTTGGCCTATGCCTACAGTAAGGCTTATACAGTATGACATGTGTGTTGTAGCAATTTTCTAGTAGTACTGATTCTGAAGGAAGTTTAAAAATGCTCAGAAACAAATAACTAATACTTCAGACACAGTTAACTTACAATTTTACAATTAAAATTTTTTTATGAGAAAATATAAAGATATTTAATATTCAATTGGGTAGACCATGGAGGAAATAGACACAACCTAAACAGTATGTCATGTGTATAAAATATTGAAAATTAGTGTTTATAATATACCTGCTTGCTATATAATCTATGCCTTTATTCATATTGAATATGAACGAAATGTTTGTATAGAAGTCAACAAAAAAAAATATGTAGAATTGTACCTGTGTGTCCGAGCATTTCTAAACATTTCTTTAGAATCAGTAGTAGCACTGTAGTAGTTAATTATTGCTATACTTTACACTACTCAAACAATCGACCAGAAATTCAGCGCTGCCCTTTTACAATTTCAAAGACCACATTGTATGTTAATTAATTACAGTTGATGACATAATTAATGTTGAAATATTGAACCCCAACACGATGGCGTGCATTTCGATACTTGAAGTATGTATTATACTATCTTGTAATTACAGTAATAGTCAATTACGGTATTTCACTCTGTATCAACTGTATACACTTTCCTCTCGACAGACTACCATGGGATTTTGACCTACCCTAACCATGGATGGATTAGTTTAGTTTTTAAACTAAGTCCTCCATGCCCTAACTACACCGTAGCTTTCATATTCCACAAGCAGTAAACACCACACCACTTTCGTGACTGGCGATTAGTGTCAAGCATACATGCATTATTCATGTTATTAGTTCACCTAAATGACCTTAAATAGTGCCCTCTATAATTTCTGCCTGAACTGTATGGGGGAAAAAATAATGCGGCCAGGGCCACCCCTCAAGAAGAAAAACCACAATTTGCCAAGAAGAAAAACCACAATTTGCCAGGAATAAAAAAATTTATACATATTTTCCACATACTAGTAGACACTAAAATTGAAACCCATAAATTCTCAAATGTTTCGGGGGCTTCACCCTATAGACCTCCCCCCCCCCCGGGACCTCTTTCGGAACATTTTAAGCGACACTCGACCACTCCCACTTTGCTCTTGACAGCAAAATCTTCCATCTTGTTGGGAAAAAGAATCTAAGGGCCATGTTCACCTCATGCTTTGGGGACCTCAGACATCCTCTAAATATAAATCATCAAAAGTAACTTTTTAGGAAAAAAGTTGTTGAGAGCACTACTAAACAATGTACCATCATGCCATTTATTTCAAGTTTCATACTTGGCTACATACTATCAAGGCTAGAAAGCTAATGGCCAGGTGGTACAGTAAGTGGGAATATGTCCTGTTCAGGGGTGGATTTGCCGCCCTAACACCCCCCACCCCCGTTTGAGAGGTTGAAAAAAATTTAAAAAAAGAAAAAAAACGTTAGCCCAGAATGCCTCAATGTTATTTTCGAGCATCTAGAACTAAAAAATTTAGCGGGGGCATGCTCCCGGACACCCTACAGTACTGTAGTTCAGTGTTGTCTCGATCGGCCAAAAGTTCGCCGCCCCTACCTTTTGGACATCTCTGGATCCGCCCCTACTGTTTTTTTTGTTTAAAGCTTATTACTGGTGATTATGTAGCATTTTCCCATAAACACAGATTACATCTTAGAGTTGGGGAGTACCATGATGACCATTTTAGTATTGACCAGGACAATTAATGTTCTTGTGTGTTGTCTTCCAAGTCTCGTATATTTTGAGAGTGGTGTTTACTTTGCATTTTAAATTATTTTAGACCCTATACAAAATAGGAGATAGGAGCCATGACTTAGGGTCATCAGACTATATTTGCATAACATTATTATTTATCTAGTCCAAATGATAATAATTATATTAACTATTATTTATATTTCACAGGATATCAATTCAAGATGGCTACCAGTAAGTTGAATCAGTTTCTGGAACATGTTGATGAGAAGGTCTTTGAGTGTACAATCTGCTTTAAGAGACTTCAAAATCCAAAATCCCTCAACTGCCTCCATAGTTTCTGTTTGGCATGCCTGGAAGATTGGGTTAAGGAGAAGGGTAAGCTGACTTGCCCAACTTGCTCAAAATCATATCCCATTCCAAAAAGAGGGCTTGAGATGCTTCCACCAAATACCTTTCTAAATAACTTATTAGAAACTATCGAACAATTTTCACAGAGTGATCACATAAAATGTAGTGTTTGTGAAATGGAAAGACAAGTAAAATACTACTGCCAGGATTGCAGACAGTACTTGTGCTCTACTTGTAGTGATCAACATAAGAAGTTTAAAGCCATGGCAAATCACAAGTTACATATAATGGAGGATGTGCAATCAATGAGCCCCTCTGAGATGACTTTGTTACATCCGCCTCTGTGTTCACATCACAGTAAACCTTTGGAGTTCTACTGCACAGATTGTAAAACTCCAATCTGTGTGAACTGTACAATTATGGACCACAAGGAATGGGAAGGAAAACACAAACCAGTCAACATTTCAGACGCATTCCAAACATTTAAAAAAACTTCAGCCACCTTGGAAAAATCTGCCCAACACTTCATAAACAAATTAGAAGGTGGTCTCAATGCTGTTATCCACAATGCTACAAAATTACAACAAAATAAAGACACATGTTTAATAGATATAGACAATCATGTAGAAGAAATATTCAAAAAAGTAAAAGAGAATAGAGACAAAATTAAAAATGAAGTAGAGACAATCTATAAAAGAAAAAAGAAGGTAAATGATGTACAAATGGATGAATTTAAAGCAATATTATCCGATATAAAAACAAAACTGTCTTTTCTTAATCAATTATTGAAGAGTGATGAAGGCACTGCAATGCAGTTAAGTGAAACAGTAATTACAGCACTCATGGACAGAATAAATGAATTACCAAAAACAGAGCCAGATGATAATGGAGAAATTTACTACTTCATAAACAAACAGCAAATGACTTCATTGAGGCAATGTGCTATAGGGACTGTAAAAGATTTTAGGGCAGCAGACTGTTTAACACTAAAAGGAGAGGAATCAGTGAGCAAAGATCAGACAATTATAGTCAAAATAGTCAAAACAGATGAACATGAAATATATGCTAATCAACTGAAGGCAACATGGACACAGCCTACAGGGGAAACCAACATCTCTCAAGTTCAGGAAGATGACAATGGAGATTATTTTGTAACAGAAAAATGCACAAGTCCAGGAGTTTGTAAACTAGATGTGAGTGCTGATGATGAACCAGTTAACCAATCACCAATGACAATCAAAGTAGAAGAGGGAAGATTAGTAAATACTATTCATATAAATGCAAAATATATTATAGATGTAGTTAAGTGTGAAGATGGCTCCTTACTGCTTTCATGTTGGACAAATAAAATACTCAAGTACAAGCAATCAGGAGAATATATTGGTAAGGCTACACTACCACAAGGTGTGAAAGTTCACAGAATGTACAAAATGAAGAATGGTAACATAGCATTCAATGATTGCGATGATAACAGACCTATCACAATATGCAATATGAATGGTCAGGTGATTAAAACAATTAGTGAGGGAGTATTGAATACACCATATTGCATTCATGTGGATGAGACATCAAATGTTTTGTATGTAGCAGGTGGGTTCAGAGACTGTGTGTACATGTTTGACATGAATAATGGCAAGACCATCAAAAAAATAGGGTCACAAGGTACAAAAGAAGGTCAAATGAGTAATGTCATTGATGTTACTCTTACTAACCAAGGACACCTTCTTGTATTGGAGTATGGCAACAGTAGATTACAATTATTTAATAATGAGGGAAGGTTCATAAAAGTCCTTGTTGAAGCGGGTGATGAGGATGGTGAGGTAAATTCTCCAAGTGCAGTAGTAGTTGATGAGGATGACAACATCATTATATCAAGTGAACGCAAACTACAGCTATTCAGTAGTGATGGAAATTTCATAAAAAGAATTGATAAATCAAAAGATGGAATCAACAATCCATGGGGATTATCCATTATTTCATATCATCCAAGGAGACTTGCAGTAGCAAATACTGGTGACAAAACAGTCAAAATATTCAATTATTAAATATTGACAGTCCACTTGCTTCACTTGTGTGTTTTCAACAATTCAAATTTATAAGTGTAGGAATATCTACATATCCATTATTTCATATCATCTACATAGAGTTAAGTTATGGATCTTAAACTTAAAATAATTATTAAATACAAAAGTTGGCATAATGATTATAAACCTGTTAAACAATAATACAATAATCTGCAAACCTCAGTTGTTTTCAGTGTAGTTCTCATCAAATTTGAATCACACACTATTGATCTTATGATTTTATATTTTTGTAGTGTAAGTTTTTAATCATACAGTATAATGCATATACATGTTATTTTCTTGCATATTGATTTTACTTTTCAATCTATTGGGGCATTTTTTGTAATCTATCAACTTGTATCTCTTTGATTTTCATAAATTTTGATATTTGCATGTTTCTTTATTTTTTTTTAAATTCCTGTATATTTCCTTTTTGTTTTTCTGTATAAAAAACCTAACAAGCTTACAACACATCCACATAGAGTTAAGTTATGGATCTTAAACTTAAAATAATTATTGAATACTAAAGTTGGCATAATGATTATAAACCTGTTAAACAAATTACAATAATCTGCAAACCTCAGTTGTTTACAATGTAGTTCTCATCAAATTTGAATCACACACTTACCTTATGATTTTATATGTTTGTAGTGTAAGTTTTTAATCATATAATGCATATACATGTTATTTTCTTGCATATTGATGTTAAACATTTTACTTTTCAATCTATTGGGGCTTTTTTGTAGTCTATCAACTTGTATCTCTTTGATTTTCATAAATTTTGATATTTGCATGTTTCTTTATTTTTTTTTTATTCCTGTATATTTCCTTTTTGTTTTTCTGTATAAAAAACATAACAAGCTCACAACAGAGTGTATATTATAAACACACCACACAGGCATTCATATCCATAAGAATTATTCTGGTATATATTTAATTTTTCTTACAAACTTGAATCTGCCTAAATAATCTGATTCAAAGTGGTGTGACAGGGAAATATTTAAAATTAGGGGGGGGGGGAGGGGTAAGCATTTTATTATTTCATTATCATAAAAAGGATATACTGTATATGATCTAGTAGTTAAGCTTAGCTTTAGTTTGCATTCATCTTAAATGTAATCTATTATTCAACCAATAAATTTATAGATACTAATGTGTACTTTGACAAAAAAATATCTGAATCTGATTCGTATGTACAGTATAATAAGCAATTAGTAGAGCTCTGTATAGTACACTATAGGAAAAGTATTATACAGAGGTTGGATTCAATGCTTGCAAAAATTTGCTGATGGCCTGCAAGGCCTAAAGGAAATTTTTGAATGCATTAAATGTAACCTAATTTTTTATCAGCGTATGATGCATGCTCTACTAATTCCTTAATAAGTCAATCGCCGTCTTTTCATTTCAGTTTTTTAAAACCAACAGTTGCTATAGTGATATTATCAGTATACGTGTGCGTACAGTACTTATATTTAGCTGAGCGTATGCTGTACGCGTTTAATTAACTACACATCAGCAGTACAGTATGGATACGATGAATAATTATTGTAATTTGGGTTGTGTTCGAAAGAACTTGTTTGTAATGAGTATTTTGATAGACTTTCGTCAAAGAAATAAACATTTTTCAGCATTTGAGAGAGAATACAGTCACTTACCTCTTTGGTCGGTGCATGCAGACATGTAAAATCATGCGATGATATCATAACTAGGCTAGGTCTAGTATTAAGAGGAGTCCTGGGCGGCCTCTTGCCTGGCTGTAGGAATACATATATATGTCTTCCTTGAGTCTTTAAAATAGGTCTAGAATATTCCTATTAAACGATCAGTTTGTTGAGTTTATGAGGGTCCATTGATTCAATGAATTCCTTAATTGTTCATACTTAAGCCCCATTCCCGGCAAACTTTCATTTGTTAAGAAAAATCTAAGTTTTGTATAATGTTATAAATATAATATGGAATTGCTAGTTTAACTGAATTTAGACATTCCTAAGCATGAAAAAAATGTAAAATAAGACTAAGATTTGATTTTTTGTGTTCCACACAAAAAATAAATGCGGATTTATTTTTCATGTTTGGTTTTGCGATAGGTCGTGAGAGGAAATATCGTAGGCGCCAAAAACATTAGCCTATCCAGCGCTGCTAGGCTAGGCCTAGCCTTACATCGATTTAGGTTCTGTTATCACACAAAAAAACGGCAGACATGGTATTTTCCATTGCTAGTATTGACACTTGTGAAATATAATATTTCATAGGAATTATTTCAAATTTGTTAAAAAACTGACTGAGATTTTGACACTTAAACAAACATATCTCGGCTGTAATCAAAGGACCGCATTGTGCGAGAGGCGAAGTATAAAAACTAATCTCATTAGAGAAGGCGCACTTTATTGACTGTATAAAGTATAATGTTTTTAAACTTGTTAAAATATTTGATTATTGAATATAATATACATAGAGCTGAAGTTATGTTTTTTTTTTAAACTGTTAAAATATTAATTATTCAACACAAATGATATCTATAGTGTTTACAGTAGAGTTCTCATCAATTTTGAATCACACACTATTGATCTTATGATTTTATATTTTTGTAGTGTAAGTTCTTAATCATATAATGCATATACATGTTATTTTCTTGCATATTGATGTTAAAAATGTTACTTTTCAATCTATTGGGGCTTTTTTGTACAGCCTATCAACTTGTATCTCTTTGATTTTCATAAATTTTGATATTTGCAAGTTTGTTTATTCTTTCTTTAGTACCTGTATATTTTTTCTGGTTTTTTGTATTAAAAAAAACCTAACAAGCACACAACAGAGTGTATATTATAAATACACCTATGGGCATTCATCCATTAAATGAATAAGATGCGATGAGTCAGATTGATTATTCTTGTATATATTTAATTTTTCTTATAAACTTGAATCTGCGTAAATAATCTGCTTCAAATTAGTGGGAGAGGGATATATTTAAAAGGGGGTTTGTAAGCATTTTATTATTTCATCCTCATAAAAAGGAATATACTGTATATGATTTAGGTAGTTAAGCTTGGCTTATTTTTTTGCATTCATCATAAATCTTAATCTGTATACAACCTAATAAATTTATAGATTTTCATGTACACTTTGACAATAAATTATCTGAATCTGATATGTATGTACAGTATAATTGTTATTACTATATATGATTAACAGCAAGCTTAGCTTTTGTTGAAATTTATTTGTAAATGTTAACCTGCATTAAAACCAATTCGATTTTATATTTCTTCATTGTATACTTTGACAATAGATCATCTAAATCTGTATAAATGTCTGTATAGTATAATAATTGCTATTCATTTTTGTGGCTTACTTTGTACACAGACCCTATATATTGTATATAGGGTCTGTGCTTTGTACAGTTCTACTGTTATCCAGTACACAATAGTGTGTAATCATGTATTACAGAGAACTGCATATCATGATCACTCAAGATTGACCCTATGATTAGTTCTTATCACCAAACAAATAATACCCTGGACCTCAGGGAAGAACAGTGTAAAAATACTGAGTATCCAGAATAAAGAAAGATTTCTAAAAATACTGAGTATCCAGAATAAAGAAAGATTTCTAACTAACAAATCAAATATTTGATCATACCTTTCTTAAACATATTTGAAAATGTCTGATGGATCTCGGCGAACCAGATGATACAGTAAATACTAAGCTCCGCCTCCTCCTCGTCTGTGTTCTGATATCAACAAAATAGAAAAAAAAGAGTTTCACAAGTCATCTATTTGGTGTTCCAGATACTCTTTACAATTTATTATTATAATTATATTGAGACAAAGGAAGTTTCTTCTTGCTCAAAAAATGAAAAAAAATATGTTAATAACTATTGTTATAATTTTAAATGTGCCCAGAAATTTTCATATTGCTTTTGATTTTATGCTGGTACAACACCTACAATTGACTTGATATTAGAATACATTATAAATAAACAAATTAAATAAATGCATTTCAAAGAAAAAAAAAATAATAATAAAAAAAACTGAATGTAAAAAAAAAATGTCCTCACCTCTTGTTCTGTTCTACTCTGCAGTACTTTGCTTGTTGTATGATCCTCTTAAAAACTATCAGACCCTATACAAAATAGGAGATAGAAGCCTTTAATTTCTATAAGGTCATCAGATTGCATGACCTTATTATTTATCCAGTTCAAATAATAATAATTATATTACCTATTATTTAAATTTCACGGGAAATCAATTCAAGAAGGCTACCAGTAAGTTGAATCAGTTTCTGGAACATGTTGATGAGAAGGTTGATGAGTGTACCATCTGCTTTAAGAGACTTCAAAATCCAAAATCCCTCAACTGCCTCTATAGTTTCTGTTTGGGATGCCTGGAAGATTGGGTTAAGGAGAAGGGTCAGCTGACTTGCCCAACTTGCTCAAAAATCATATCCAATTCCAAAAAGAGGGCTTGAGAAGCTTCCATCAAATACCTTTCTAAATAACTTATTAGAAACTATCAAACATTTCAGACGCATTCCAAACATTTAAAGAAACTTCAGCCACCTTAGAAAAATCTGCCCAACACTTCATAAACAAATTAGAAGGTGGTCTCAAAGCTGTTATCCACAATGCTACAAAATTACAACAAAATAAAGACACATGTTTAATAGATATAGACAATCATGTAGAAGAAATATTCCAAAAAGTAAAAGAGAATAGAGACAAAATGAAAGATGAAGTAGAGACAATCTACAAAAGAAAAAAGAAGGTAAATGATGTACAAATGGATGAATTTAAAGCAATATTATCCGATATAAAAACAAAACTGTCTTTTCTTAATCAATTATTGAAGAGTGATAAAGGCACTGCAATGCAGTCAAGTGAAACAGTAGTTACAGCACTCAGGGACAGAATCAATGAATTACCAAAAACAGAGCCAGATGATAATGGAGAAATTTACTACTTCATAAACAAACAGCAAATGACTTCATTGAGACAATGTGTTATAGGGACTGTAAAAGATTTGAGGGCAGCAGACTGTTTAACATTAAAAGGAGAGGAATCTGTGAGCAAAGATCAGACAATTATTGTCAAAATAATCAAAACAGATGAACATGAAATATATGCTAATCAACTGAAGGCAACATGGACACAGCCTACAGGGGAAACCAACATCTCTCAAATTCAGGAAGATGACAATGGAGATTATTTTGTGACAGGAAAATGTACAAGTCCAGGAGTTTGTAAACTAGATGTGAGTGCTGATGATGAACCAATTAACCAATCACCAATGACAATCAAAGTAGAAGAGGGAAGATTAGTAAATACTATTCAAATAAATGCAACAAGTATTAGAGATGTAGTTAAGTGTGGAGATGACTCCTTACTGGTTTCATGTTGGACAAATGAAATGCTCAAGTACAAGCAATCAGGAGAATATATTGGTAAGGTTACACTACCACAAGGTGTGCTAGTTAACAGAATGTACAAAATGAAGAATGGTAACATAGTATTCAGTGATTGCAGTGGTAATAAACCTATCAGAATATGCAATATGAATGGTCAGCTGATTAAAACAATTAGTGAGGGAGCAGAGAATACACCACGGAGCATTCATGTGGATGAGACATCAAATGTTTTGTATGCAGGAGGTTGGTGCAGTAGCTGTGTGTACATGTTTGACATGAATAATGGCAAGACCATCAAAACAATAGGGTCATATGGTACAAAAGAAGGTCAAATGATAAATGTCACTGATGTTACTCTTACTAACCAAGGACACCTTCTTGTATTGGAGAGTGGATGTTTAGGTATTGGAAGAAGTAGATTACAGTTATTTAATAATGAGGGAAGGTTTATAAAAGTCCTTGTTAAAGCGGGTGATGAGGATAGTAAAGTAAATTCTCTAAGTGCAGTAGTTGTTGATGAGGATGACAACATCATTATATCAAGTCAACACAAACTACAGCTATTCAGTAGTGATGGAACTTTCATAAAAAAAATTGATAAACCAGAAGATAGAATCAACAATCCACAGGGATTATCCATCATTTCATATCATCCAAGGAGACTTGCAGTAGCAAATACTGGTGACAAAACAGTCAAAATATTCAATTATTAAATATTGACAGTCCACTTGCTTCACTTGTGTGTTTTCAACAATTCAAATTTATAAGTGTAGGAATATCTACATATCCATTATTTCATATCATCCACATAGAGTTAATTTTATGAATCTTAAACTTAAAATAATTATTGAATACAATAATATCGAAATATAAAGTTGGCATAATGTTTATAAACTTGTTAAAATATTTGATTATTGAAAATGATATACATAGAGCTGAAGTTGTGGGTTTTTTTTTAAACTGTTAAAATATTAATTAGTCTACATAAATGATATCTATAGAGTTGAAGTTATTAAACTGAAAACATTAATACTGTAATCTGCCAACCTCAACTGTT